TTGAAGTCTGTGCATTCATACCTGACTTGAATGACTTTGATCTTCTCCATTTATCTAAAACCCCCACCTTTATATAGAGTAGTCTATGTTGTAACTCTCAGACTGGATCCATCCTGGAAATATTTCTATCTAGTCTATAGTTTTATTTTCTTTTCTGAAGGAGGCAAAACAACTGTTTTAGTAGGGGGTGCTTCCTACAAATGGAAAATATTCTCAGTGGCTGCTGCTGTGTCTAGGTGCATGAGGTACCACTTCCTGCTGCAGCAAAGGTTGCCTCTCCCGTTAGTAGCTGACACCATCCTCACCCCATACGTGGCTGGCAGGAGCATCAGATGAGCTCTCTGTGGTGAATTAAAATGGTGCTCTCACTTACCGCTGAGAGCAGGAGAAAAGGATGCTGCTTCGTGACTCGGCATGGACCACCTGATGTGTTCATTGTGTGGCGAAAAAAATGATAAACAGAATAGATGCAGGCTGCTGCATGCAAATTGGATAACATGGGCACAGAAGGTATCAATGATCAAAAAATTTTATCTTTTAAAGGCTGTGAAGATGATCCAGCTGTGATGCTTAAGTATTGTCTTAACATTGTTTGAAAAGTCAAAGCTGGAAGAGGTGGAGGCGCAGCAGCATTCTTAACACAGTTAATGGAAAAATATTAAGGGAAACAAATGAGGCACTGTGCACAGGTCTTGAGAGAAAACATTATAAGTAGTGGAGGGCTGGCAAAACTGCAGCGATGTCTACTTTCCAGCACTTGTTCCTTTTCTCTAGCAAGCAGAGCAACTCTGGATAGTTCTTCCCTCTTTATTCTTGATTGTGTGCTTCCTTGTGCTTCTGTGGCTATGCAGTAGTTTGGATACAGGAAAACTCATAATTTGCTGTATGGATCAGATAATTTTCATTTGGGACTCACCTCCTGGTCTAATTCACTACAGCAAAGGGAGTGTGCAGTTTGTGTTGGGGACCTCTACTTCCACAAGTACTGCTGATGAAACTAGAACCTGAGTCACCATAATATCACAATTAGTTGCTCAAACCATAATTCAGTAAACATGGTTTGCTCTTTTTGTGACATCTACTTAGTTTTGCTAGGGCAAGTGTTTGCATGTTTGCATTGCAGGGAAGGTAATGGAATTGATTGGAGTTTAAAATATCCATTTGTTTCTTAGGTTATTTGTAAACTAGATTAGGTACTCAGTCCACCATGCAGCCCTACAAATACAGTACTGTCACAACTGAATGGATGTGTTAAGACTGGGAATGAGAGGCCACCTATGTTGGCAGTGTTCTGGAAGACTTGTCAAACAATGGCTTTGATTTCTTAAATGTCATATACATTAAAAAAAAAAAAAAAAGTACAGGTCAGACTGATCCAACAGTTGGAAGCATTGCTTCCCTAAGAGTGGTGTGTGTATAGCCATTATGATGTCCAATTTTTATAAGTATGCAGAATTTTATGTGCGTGAGTGCTAGATTAAAGATATTTAAAAACTTTAAAATGGAGAGATACTCAATGGTCTGTTTTATGGCATTTAATTTAGGTCAGGGCACTGAAAACATACTTGCTACCAGTTCTTGACCATGCTGACTGCAGTGTTTGAGAACTGAAGAGCTTCAAGGACTCTGGTTAATATCCTTAAATATTCATGGTAATGAGTCTTCATTTTGTTATGATGAACAGCAGAATATGTGTCTCTTGTTTTGAATATTCTACATAGAAACAGTATTCCATAGGTTACTGAAACTACTGTAGAGACGCTATCAGTTTGATTAGGGCCAGATGAGTATTTCTGTCTTTGACTAGAGCATTTTGGGAAGTATGGATATTGAAATAACTTTTTTCATGCCTTTACAGTGAGGTATGAAGCATATTGGCTAGTATTTTGGTGTTCTGAAGAACAGAGTATGAGATGAGGGTTATGTTTTGAATTTGGTTTATTGATAACTTGAAATCGTTATTTTATTTACAGAAATTCCTTTAGTTACATAGTTACATACTCAGATAGTTATCAGCATACCATTTAGTTGTCTAAATATTTTGCTAGGTTTGAACATGGCAGCAGCTGTAATCCTTTGGGAGTATACATGGGGAGCTTGTTACATAGGAGCATATGATAAGATACCACCTCTGGAAATTTACTTTCCAAATTAAAAATTAGATTTCATACTAAACACAACTTACTATTTCAAGTCAAATTTTAACTGACATTTAGTATTACATCTCCACTGGGGAACTTCAGATTTGCTATAAGTATTCTGGACTGTTTTTCCTAGTTGTTGTGTGAGACCCAAGGTTTCATCTCTTGAAAGTGTTTAGAGTAAACGTGATTGTTTTAAAATGCTGTCATTAATGAATTTTTTGTTGTTGTTGTGAAATGTCTTGACAATAAGTAGGTTCAAATAGTCATTTTAATTTGAAAATACAACACATTTGGCGTCTTTCAGTATACAGGGAGAAAGTTCAAATTTTATTTTTGCTGTGCCAAGCATGAGTAGAGTTTGCTCCCAGAATTTTGGGCTCTGCATAAAGGCATGCAGAGCCAATCACAGTTATTCAGGTTATCAGCCAAATACATAAACTAGACCTTCATTCAGAAGGGGGTTTGTGCTAATAACAGTTCCAAATGTGTTTATAGGATTGTTGTTTTATGAAATTTGTATTGTGTTTGAACATTGAGAAGCCAGTTTCTTCTTGGTTTGAACTGGTGTGAATGAGGGTGACTTGAATTTAGCTATTAGGTTACATCAGTGGAAGGACTAGCTCTGAACACATACCCATATTTGTGCTTCTTTAAGCAGTAAAACCATAGCAGAGGCTCATAATTTCTAAAATGATAGATTGTTTTCCTTTTGTTCTCAAACACTTTGGCTATTAATGAAAAAATATTGTGTTTGCTGGCTTCTACTCAGCTATTCTGGATGTACAGTGTGCTAATGTAAATCAGCAGTTTCTGCTTCTATAAATAGACTTTCTCAGCAGCTGCAGAGCAAAACTGACAAGCTTCTGGTTATTTTTATTATTGCCATTCAGAAATTGTTTGAAAATGTTCAGTGGTAGGTATGTCTGCAGACTGCGCTGAGGTTATGAGTAGGGAGAGGGAAAGAAAGAGTGCATTTATAAGCCAACAGTGTGAGAGTAGAGGCAAAGAGCTCTGTATTCCTTCATTTGGGAGTGCTTAAGCTAAGTTTGGAGCTCTTTTATATGAAAGACATGCTATCCAGCTGGCTAAAAGTAATGAGTTCTTAAATGGGGTCTGGGGATAGCATTTATCTAACTTCTTTATAGCTGGATATAAGGCAGTCTTTACAAGTGTACTCTGTAGGGGAACATCATCATATTGTGCCCTGAGAAGCTGTCTCCCAAAATTTTCAGTTCTTTCTGCTGCTGAGTCTGGTTTTGTCAGCTGCATGGGAAAGAAACAGCCAGGCAAGAATGCTTACCTTTTACAGCGTTCCTCCCCTCCTGCACCATGGTGGAAGCTCTTGCACGGCTGAACAGCAACTGTTTCTCTCCTCCTTTCTAGAAGTAGACTAGGAAGTAGTACCAGTGTGGCCTGCATGAAGAAGGGATGCTAACAGGCCAACCAAGTTTCTGTTGTTGTTTGTGGACACAGGAGAGGTTGCCAGGAAAGAAAAAGTATTGAATATCTTTTGTGAGAGCATTTAATTGAAGTCCTGTGTCTGTGTTTACATGTGTGGTTGTTTTGTTGTTGTTGTTTTCTATTTGTTGTTTTTTTTCTTGAAAACTAGCAGTGTTCTTTTAAGAGTCTTACTACAAGGTGTTAGGAAATATCTTGGGCTGTAAGAATTATTTTCCTGAAATAGAGATATGCTTACTTTAGTGTTTCCCAAAGTACATATAATAAAATGGATGGTAGATTCAGCTTGTGCTGAAAAATATGGAATGACTTTATATTCTCCCTCTAATGAAAGCACATTTCTTGAATCTTGATAGCCAGCCTCTGTGAATAATATATAAAGGAAAGGAAATTATGAAATATAGTATTATAATGGCAGGTGGGAGTAGAGAACGCTTGTCAACTGTTGCTTTAGAAACAGCACCATCAGTCTGTGAGGTGGCTGAATTTCACCTAAAAGTGAAATTCAGTGTATGCCAAAGCCTTGGAAACTGCAAAGTTTCTTAGCATCTTATTTGTATGTTTTACCAGTGCTTTAATCTGTATTCTTTGTACCAAATTAGATCTTAGTGATGTTAACTATTATTCAAGGAGAAACACAGAACCCTGACAAGTAGATTCATAGCTTTTTATTTTTAATATTGTTTGAAATGTATGTATGTTTTTAAACTTCTAATGGATGTCTCCTGGCTTGATAGCCTAAATATTTTTAAGTGCTCTGATACTAGAAAAATGGATCACACATTCTTCATAGAAGAAAATACTGACAATGTGAAAAAGCACAAAATGTGTTTAAAAAGAAAACATGGACTTGTTCTTTTTAAAAATGATTTATCTCACTTTTTATTCGGCTACCATTTTAAGGGAGTAATTATAGTTCATTCACTGTGAATGACAATTTGTGGATTTAATTAGGTCTAAATAATTGGGAGAGATGAAGAATATGGTATTTGGCACATCCTTGTAGGCTGTTATGAGATCTAATTGAAGTACAAAGTTCAGAACAACTAAATAGTTCTAAATAGTATGAAGTTTAGAAGAACGAAAGTACCTCAGAGTGCTTTTGAAGTTTATTGCTAAAATACAGTACAAAAAGTTGCACTTTAAGTATTTCAAGAAGAGATGAGCATGTTGTATACTAGCTTAATTCCTTTTATAAAGTATAGAAACTCTTAAAATTCAAAGTTAGTATCTTTTGTGGAATGAAGGGAAAGGAGGAAAAATGGTAACTTTGATGTGGAATTAGTTTCACTTGTATAATTCTTTGTCCTTTAAAGACAAGCAAAAGGAGTTAATTCCAAGAATCTTTGTGTGAGAGAGTTTACTAAATAAACCTTTTATTTCTGCTTTTAGTCGGCAGATAAGCAGCGAGCCCTGGAAGAAACCAAAGCCTACACAACCCAGTCATTAGCAAGCGTAGCCTATCTGATCAACACTTTGGCCAACAATGTTCTCCAAATGCTGGATATCCAAGCATCCCAACTTCGACGCATGGAATCTTCAATCAACCATATTTCACAAGTGAGACTTTTTTTCTGATTCCTCACCCCCCACCCCACCCCCCGCTGTCTTTATTTTTGAAGTTACACAGCAAGTAAAACTCTCACCTGACATTTTGTGAATAAGAAAAATAGTCACATTTAAAACAGAAGGAAGCATTTCTTCTCATGTTAATTCTGGGAACAGATCACATTATGTGATTGTATATCTGTGTTAGTGTCAGCATTTTACATAGGATAGGAGATTAAATATATTCTTGCCCAATTTGTTTGGAGAAGGGTTCATTCTGCATAAGTGAAAAGCACAGAAAAATCACTAATGGAAAAATCAGAATATTATGTTAAGGGATGGATTAAGCTTTCCATCTCCTATTTGGTGACTTAGTGTATTTGGTATTTATTGGCTGCAGGCACTTAAAATTAAAGAAATATGAAATGGATGGTGGAAAACAATACTTGTCATCTTTTTACTTTTCCTATTGCTGTAATTCTGGCATTTGATGATAAAACCAGAGATGACAAAAATAGTTTGTTCCTGGCTTTTCTTAATAAAATGTACTTTGCAATGACATGAACAGAAGGCAAAATTAATGTTTCAAGATTGTGTATGGCTGCAGAACTCTTGCCATTGTTTGCAGGTTTTTCTGAGCAGCAATAAATTAAGCTACTATTATCAGGAATCCATGTCCCATCACCACACTGATGAGAGACTTTTGACTGTGAGAATGAGGTGAGAATGGATGATAGATTTATTGGAAGTTTATATGCCAATGATGGATTAAAAGAGAAATTAAGAGCAATGATACAGCACTTTCTGTTTTTCTGTTACTGGAGAGTTGATTGGCATCCTTACTGAATATTTTGTGTCTTATTTGACCAATACATTTTGGCTGCTAGCATTTCTTGATCTCCATGTGATAATGTCATAAATTAAAATAAAGAATATTGTGGCGTTTAGAAAGATGTTTGAAAGTAAGAGCTGTGTAAGGTATGAAATATGCAGATTGAGCCAATCTGTTAACTTGCTGGTGCTGAAAGGGTTGCTAAGCTAATAGAGGTTTGAACTAGCAAAAGTAGTGAATAATTTTATGCTAGCTTAATGGGCTGAATTGGCTTACTGAAGTGTCAGATGAATTCCAGAGCAGGTGCAAAGGAAGAGGTGGGGAGGATTTTTCCTTCTGGTAGTAGTACACTATTAGATTGCCTCAGTTATCTCATGCAACTGCATTCTCAAAAATAGGCTGAGAAGTTTGATTTCTTCTGCTACATGCTTCTTGTTAATCCCTGGACAAGTAAATTCTTTTTTTTTTTTTCCAGAAAATGTCACAGATTGTGTGTGTGTGCACGTGTATGTGCTATATGTATGCTGTGTATGTGTGTATATACCTCTGTGTATGTATATACATGTGTATGTGTTTGTGTTTGTATGTATATGCTTCTTGACAGAGTAGTGCCAGCTGACAAGTATTTCAACTATTTGAGAGCCTGAAGCAAAAGACAGTATATGAATAAAAATATTCAGAGTTCATTGGATTTTGCATTTTATAGATGTGGAAAGTTCATTTTGTCACAGTTTCTGTAAGTTAACTTTTTGGGGAAAGGGCCATAACATTTTAAGTTTTCTTCCTTCTGAGAAGTTGAGATTTATGCAGATTGAGATGCTGGGTTAGATTGTCTTTGGCATTTATACATAATGGCTAGTTATTTAAAATGGAGCACTAAATTACCAGCGCCCAACACCTATTGAAGATGTATCTGCCAAAATTCATAGGCTGCACTTAACAACCAAAAAAAGTTTGGTTTGGTTTGGTTTTCTTAATACCTCTGTAAAATTGAAATTTAAGTTTGGGGGTTTTTTGTTTGTTTTGGTTTGGGGTTTTTTTGAGTATGCATTACCCATATGTGGGATGCGCCCCAAATCTTCATGGAAGAAGTGATATCAGAGGAGCAGGCAGTATTAGAATTTTGGACATTACATACACCAAGTGTGTTGATCCAAGGAACTTAGTAAAGTTGAATTCACTATGTTCAGAAATGGCTTCATCCCATGACACCAATGTTGTAGGTGTTTATATTATCTGTCTTAATTTCAGTGGTTATTTTTCTTTAAAAAATGAATTTATTTTGTCACCGTTTCTGTGTGATGAATAATTTCTTTTTGGGAAATTGGATTATACTTCTCCTGAAACAAGCCTAACCTGCAGAAGACTTCCTTGGTCTTTATGTTGGGTGTAACGTTTAGTGGACTGTTTCTAGTATCACTTTAAAAGCCTCATGGTATAATACCTCATTGCCAAGTTATGATTTCAGTTAGTGTGACGTGAAATGATGTCAGTAACGTAGAACAGAAAACAGGTTGGTTGTTACCATCTGCTTGCAGTGCATCATTGCATCAATGCTTTGGTCAGTAGGTATTGATATTTCAGTTTAGAAAACACTAATGCAAAATAAGATAAATGGATGTGTAATCCTGCTTTTAATTCTGATTTGGAATTCCACACATTCTCCAAAGAAGGGAGCAAACTCATTTGGCTCTTAGTAAGAAAACTTTTGAAAAAATGCTTGTTTTGTTCAAGTGTAGCTCAAACTGTAAGAGACATGACTAACTTTAGAAGATAAAGTATTCTTGTTCTTTGCTCACTGATAGAATGCCAATTTATATCACTTTCTGTGTTTCCTTCTAAATGCCAACTTAATCAAAGAGCTGAAAAGGAAGTTGCTAATCATTTGTGGTTTTTCAGATTATATATAGGTCCTGAATTAGGAAATCATTACTATTGAAACTGTATTTATGCAAGTGATTAAATCTTACTGGTTTAAAATTTAGGATTACTTTGATTTGTTCTGAAAGCTGATGAATCTATTCTTACTTGCCTTCTTGAACCTTGTCCAGAACTAGATGATACGCAGTTTTTTGTATTTGGCTGAAAATTTAAATCCTAAATACAGATCATCTGCATAAATATTTATACTTGTTTAAAAAATTGTGTTAAAGTTTTGAAGTTAGCAGACACTGTGAAGTGTTGCTAACATCCGAATCCTTTAAATCAATCTGGCAGATTTCAGGTTTTAATATTTTGTATGATGAGAAATACTTTTTTCTGGTTTAGTTACAGAATACTCTTAGTTAGCAAGGTCATCTTTAAAACTCTGCTGCTATTTATATAAACAAGCATGTTATCACAAAGATGAGTGATAGTGATGAGTTATCTCCAATGGCAATGCATGATGGAGAAATCTGCTTCATCCTCTTACAGAATCTGACTCCCGTGATAGCAACTGTGAGAGTAGGTATTGAATAGACTGCAGACTTGAACTTCTCTGTAGTCAGCATGTGTTGCTTAGCTGAAGCGTAGCAGCATGTGTGCGCTGGTTGGTCTCTGCAGGGAAGTTCACTTGGACCTTCCATTGATAAGTCAGTAAAGGCTTGTAACCGTTTTCAGTTGTCCTATTCTTTCAAGTTACAAGAATAGCCAAACTCTTTCAAAAATGGTAATGCAAGTCTAATTTTTCACAGTATATATTACCCATTTATGGAGCAAGTAGCTTTTCAGCATTTTTGTATCATTATGACCTCTTCCTTTGTGTATAAATTACACACAACTTGAGTTGAGGCAATTAATGTCACATTTCTAACATGTCAAAATTAGACAGTTACTCATTTTAAAGTAATAATCTGGATTTCAAGGTAATTTGCAATTAGTTTGTTTAAATTCCATCAAATTAGATCTCAAAAAAATAAAAGCCCAGCAACACGATTAAGCAAAGTTTTCTTCTAAGGTTTTTTTTTTTAAACTGAATTTTAAAAGCCCGGAGTAACAGACTGACAATACATTGATAAATTTAAATTAGAATGTTTTGAGAAGAGGAAGAAATCAAGGTTTCTGGAGCCTTTTATTTCCGAAATGTTACTACAGTTTAGACTTTGAGTGCCGTCATGGTTTAATCCCAGCTGGCAACAAAGCACCACACAGCCACTCACTCCCCGCCCCAGCAGGCTGTGGGGAGAGAATCAGAAGGGTAAAAGGAAGAAAACTTGTAGGTCAGGATAAAAACAGTGTAAGAATTTTAATAATAATGATGATGTAATGAAAAGGGAAATAACAGAGAGAAATAAAACCCAAGAAAGAGAAGTGATACAAATGAAAACAATTGCTCACCACCAACTGACTGATGCCCAACCAGTCCTCAAGCAGCACACCCCCCTGCCAATCTCCACCCAGTTTTATGTTGCTGATCGTGATGTCATATAGTATGGAATATCCCTTTGGTCGTTGGGGTCAACTGTCCCGACTGTGTGCCTTCCCAAATTCTTGTGCACCTCCAGCCTACTCACTGGTGGGGTTGTGTGAGAAGCAGAAAAGGCCTTGACTCTGTGTAAGCACTGCCTAGCAAGAACTAAAACATCCCTGTATTATCAACACTGTTTTCAGCACAAATCCAAAACATAGCCCCATACTAGCTGCTATGAAGAAAATTAACTCTATCCCAGCCAAAACCAGCACAAGTGCTAACTTTGAGAAATTTTACTTACAGGTAGAAGAGAATATTTCTCAAAACTCTGAGTTCAGTGACTTTTAAGTGAAGTGTTAAATAGTGTTAACTTTGGAATCCCAGAAATGATTTCATATTTTGTCTATTTTAATCTTCACAGATCTTGAGGCTATTTTTATTGAATTGAGTATGGAAACTTGATGTTTCAAAACGGCCAGAAAATTCCTAATAGAAAAAAAAGCACAGTGGTTTATACTTTTTTCCCCTTAAGCTTATCCCTTGCCTTATGGCAGGCATCTTGGAAAGCATATGAAAAGGTGATAGTAATAAGCCTAAGCTCTGACAAACTGTCATTTAAAAGCTGTTGCTAAAGGTAATAGAGCTATGGGGATAAAAAAAATGCATAATGCTGTCAGGAGTCTGAAATTTCATGTTAGAAAACAGTGGTTTATGTTATAGAAGGGCACAGAGTATCTCATCTGCTTTTCCTGGTAGACTTTCCAAGCCAGGTGTTTTGTTAGTCCAGCTCTAACCCCAAAAACTTCTCAATAGAAGTTTCTAAACTGCTGAATAAATATTCTGCTAGGATTATCCTGACTAGCTTAAGGGATTTGTGCTAGCACTGGAGGCAATAATTACCTTTGTGTTCAGGATAAATGTTTTCATTTTCTTTAGTAGTATGTTAATCTTTGTTCCTTTCTCTACTAATCAAATACCTCAATGTTTGTTTCTGCTGTTTTATAAGTGTCTTAAGATCTTATGACTCCAGTAGTCTACTAAGCAAGAAAACAAGAAATTTTTGAAAAACCTGTCAGCAAAATGCTTTTCAGTACAATTTTAGGAGTATGTACCAGAATTAGGTGCTGTTTTTATACTCTTAGTCATTCCATAGCTATTCAAGGTAAAAGAGATGTTCTGAATCATCATGCAAGAGAATTCCCATTAGATGAACTTAAGGTTTTAATTAGGTTTTATGCATTTCATTGTTTGTTACTGTAGTCGTGCCTCAGTGATCACCATAGTCCTTAAGGAAACCAGTTGTACTCATAACTCTTATGAATAATTAAAAAATCATGCTTTTCATTCATGGAAACAAGTTTCCACAGTGCACAGATAACATTGATACAATAACATGCATTAAATATCAGTACTGACATTGTATTAGTAGACAATTGCATAAGAAAACACTAGAAGTACATCTTTAAAGCTGCAGAGGTTAAGCACTTGAAATGCAGAGAAATGAAGAAAGCATCTTGCCAATGCTGCCCTAATTTCTTTCTTTCTGTTCTGCAGATTGAAATTAAGGCTCTGAGAGTGTAGTGTCCAAAGCGTAAACTAGTTTTGAATGACCATATTCAGACCTATAAGATTTTGATCTTTCAGTACATCTGAAACATCATATAGCATTTGAGGTGCAGCTGCTGTTGCAGCTGAGGTTAACATGCTAGCAAATGGTATCAGAGGCCTGTGAGACAAAGAATGTACAAGAGTCAGTGTAATGTTCTGCAGTTATCTAGTGACATATCCAGATCACAGATGAAGTCTGAGGTAATCGCAGAGATTGAATTCTTCAGTGGTATTATACATGAGATTCTTCTCCAAGTTGCTGCAATCACATACCATTAGCTTATCAAGAAAGTATGTGCTTTCTAACTCCTCAACAGATGAAGTGAGGATTCTGTAGATGATCTCTTTGGTATGACTGCTACTTGTTCCAGAACTTCTCCTTCCACTATGCTGCAAAAGCAAAGGTCTGGCACAGAGAAGGGATACAAACCTGTGACAGCAGATAAAATATTGAATCTTACCCTGATGCAGAATGGTATACTTTTGGTACTTTCCCCTGGAACATGAGCTCTATTTGCACTAGTGCTTGTACGATCAGTAATATATCGTAAGAGCTGTGAAGATCTGGTCGCTATTGTATCGGGGGATAGTATATAGACCTACTCATTACAGGGAGCTTCAGGAACGACTTCGGCTAAATTGGTTGGAGAGTGGTTTAGTTGTTAATTAGTCACAGAAATATATGTGTTTCTGTTAAGCTTGTATGAACTGTGAATTTCTGCAGAGTTTATATATTGGCCAAATCTGGGTGGGTTTTTGTGGGGGTGATGGAAGATGTGTCCCAGATAGTTTAACTACCCCTATTAAATTTCAAATCATTGGTCAGTGAACTCAAGCTTTCCAAAGAGAGGGTTGCCAACATATTTTGACCTTGAATAATCTATTTTTCTGTAGCTTTGTTTTAAGAAATAGCTGTGCAGCTTTAGTAAGAAACCTTACAGTTCTAGGCAGGTGGTACTAGAGGTGGCAGAAATGTTCATGACAGCTATATTCAGTGCTTAATTTTAGCAAAGTTACAGGATCTTGAAAATATGTTGCTGGCAAATACTAGGTAATCTTGATAGATAGTAATTTAAGCTTCCATATAATGCCCAAATATTTGTGGAAATTCTTCTCTGGAAAGAATGTGAAGAAACAATTTCTTGGAAGTAGGGTTTTCTTTGGGTTTTTTTGTTTGTTTGTTTTGTGGTTTTGTTTGCTTGTTTTTTTAAACTGTTATAATTTTAAAGGTTGTGATGATTGCACAAGGTAAAGCAGGGTCCATTTTGCTTGTTTTGCTATCAGTAGCACAAACACAAGGGTAAAACAGTGTAACCAACCCCACTGCCCCAATCCCTGCCCGCAGAAAAAATAAAATTAAAAACCGTGTGTTATGAAAATGAGTTCTCATTTGTACCTGTTCCTTAGTTACTACAGAGCCTGCCTCCTAACTGTGAAAAGTCTTTCTGGTACCATTCATAATAACTAAAGTGGTAACAAGAAATCCTATGAATGTTTAGAAATCCTAATGGTGGTGATTCTGGTTGTTTTCTTACTTTTTTTTTGTTTACCCTGTAGCTAAAATGTTTGTTCACAATTCCGGCAAATTTCCCATAAGAAAAGCTGTTTTGTGAGCAAGGAATTATTTTTGTTTTAAATGATGCAAACAACTCCACATACCATGATTTAAGAAATTTTGTTTTCCTGGAAGGGATAGATAGACTTTTTAGTAACTTTTTCCTAGTGTTGTTACCAAATAAGGTTCAAGTACATGTTTTTAGGCAAAGAATTTTCATCAGGGCTTTGTCTTACACTAGAGATTGTTCTGTGGTACTCCTTGTAAAATGTGGAGGGAGGCATTCTAAGTGTTAGCCTTAGGCATTCTAAGTGAAGGCACAGGGTTTAACCACTGGCTTCATTGTGGATAAATTAGTACTGAGCACCTTCTAAAAATCTAATCATTGCTTTGTGAGGAGTGATTTGTAATGACTGAAATACCTTGTTGATTATCTGAGTGAAATTTTATTCTATCATATGACTACCTGTCCTAGTTTTGCAAACTGTTTTACAGTATAAGGAAACCTGCTTATGGTTTATTTTTCAGGTCATAAAAGATAAGGTTTGGGAAGGTATCCTTACGCTTCATCTAGTTGGAGACTATGTCAAAGATTGACTTGGAGAGCAATTGTAAAATTAAAGAGGATAATTGAAAGAATCATATAAAACAGTGTCAGTAAATTAATGGGAACTGCTAAGAATGGAAAGGAGAAGGAATTTTGCTGAACTGTAAAGCATGAGAGTAACAGAAAACCCAAAGAACCTGTGGCTATTAGTGTGGGTTTAGAGGTGACAAGTTCAACAGTAAATTGAACAAAGATGATGTAAGCAAATATATGTAGTGATATGTCTAGCACAGTATACAGAGATCTTTGAAACGTTGGAACTGATTAAATTTTTTTTTATACTGACTCTGTATTCAAATGCATACCACTGTTAGTAAATACACTGCGTCTTTTGTAGACGGTGGACATTCACAAAGAGAAAGTTGCTAGAAGAGAAATTGGTATCTTGACTACAAACAAAAACACCTCAAGAACTCACAAAATCATTGCACCAGCTAACTTGGAGCGACCAGTTCGCTACATCAGGAAACCTATTGATTATACAATTCTAGATGATATTGGACATGGAGTGAAGGTAGGTGATATTGTTAAAACAGCCAAACTGCAAATACGTTGTCTTTGTATATTTTCAAAATAACCTGATGCTTTTCATGGTAATATACCAGTTTCTCCTTGCCTGGCCAGTGTGTTTATAAACATAAGAGGAGTCATGTCAAATTTACAGTTGCCCCTTCCTGTTCCCTTGCCCCAGTGTTTCTAAACCTTGCAAACCCACTGAATCTTATTTCCGAGGATATTCGGGACTATGGGTCTCATCTTTTAAAATGCTTCTGAATGCCTATTTGTGTGATGATGCTGTTATTGTTGGAATCAGTTGCCAGGGAAATAACCTGCGGACTGAAAGGCTAATCACCATCACTTTTCTGTCTGAATTAGCACCATGAAGTATGATCCAGCTGTAATTGCCACTGGTTTACTTTGAAGCTCACCTGAAGAAAGGGTTTGCATGAGAAGTAGTATGTGCTCCCTTTTCTTCTTTCTGTCAGAGACAGTTATACCCATATCCTGTGATGTGCTTTGTTGAAGTGAGCTCTCTACAACTTTTGTGCCATATGGAGTTTCAGAATGGGAATGTTGCTGCCAGGTTTGAAGCCAGCTGGTTCTCCCTTTTAAGAGTAGGAAAAAAGGAGGAATTTCAGGGCAAAGATCAGACTGACACACAACTGGTGCCTGTTGTATACAAACGTTAGATCAGTGTACACAACAGCAGTAATATCATGTGTGAGATTAAATGTGCATTTTTTAAAAGCACATCCTGAATGTAAACAGTCTCAGCAGGTGTGAGCTCATTGTTAACTTGTGCTGCCAGGAAAACAAATATGGAAATGAGAACACTGACAGTGTTAAAGTTCCAGGAGAAGAAAGGTAAATAACACAAAGCGGTGTCTTTTTTACATGACAAACTAACAAATTTGTAAACCTACTAAATAGCAGTAAGGTAAGATGCTTCTTCCAGTCAAAGTACACCAGAATTTCTTTTGCTTGACACCTAAGTACATTAGGTTATCTATGTTGTTCAATTTGAACTATCTGGATAGTTGTTTAAATGGCAATAGGTTGTTTAACCAAACTCTTAAATTCAAATTTTGAACAGTGCTATTAAAATATCTTTCCCAAGCACTTTTACTTAGTGTTAACAGAAAGTATTTTTTCCCCCATTTCTTACCAAAAGAGTCAACCTCAGTTTGTAAACCAGATTTAAAAAAGACAAGTGACTCTTTAAGCTTGATTTGGAAAACCAAACCAAAGGAAAAAAAACAAACCAGCATTAATAGCTACAGTTTTGACCAGGAAATTATTACCAGTCTTGTGTTAAAATCTACTGCCAATTATAAATTTTGAATTTATGCAGGTCAGCAGAACTCCTTCTGGATATGGATGGAGCATATTAACCTGTAGGATTACTGTTGCTAATATTTTAATGATCGCTTTTGTTTTAATGAGATTATTTTAGAACTCATTAAAGAATAGTTTTTAATTGCTCCGCAGCACAATCTTATGTAGCACTGGCTCTAAACCATTATAATTGGTATCCCACTTACCTCAATGTAGCAGAAACACACTCGCTGTGATGCAATGAATTACGTTCTTCTGAAAGAACATAGTTCATCAAATGGATGATGACTCAAATGTGTATCTGCATCCATTTGTTATACTTGTGATATGCTTGAAACATCTTACAAATTATATTTACAATACACTATATTTATCTAGAAAATGAAAAAGTATTGTGTACTTGTGAAACAGTAAGCAGAGAACTTGACAGCATGCTATCTTTAACATTAAGATCCATAGATCTGTTCCAATCAGGTTAATTTTGTGTTCAGCACAGAAGAAAGAACCACTCTCTTGCTTATGGGGAGAAAGTGGCCAGTTGTGCTTATGAATCTGTTGTTTTTGTTCTGCTTGAGTAACGACAGATTAATTTACTAGATTTCTAGCTGTAGAACAAAGAGAAAAAAAGAAAATGGGTAGGAGCTTTAAATTTTCCTATTTATAGCTCCTTATTGCTTGAGCTGTGCCATTTTTTCCTTCAAATGAGTATTCAGAAGGCGTTATTGGATAAGTAGCACTAAAGTTCCAGTTAGCATCAGGGTGCCTCAGTCTGCATTCTTTGTCCTTTTTCTGCTAGAGAGTACTTGGACCAGAATTATGCATTGTCAGGACAATCAAAGAGCTAATGCAGCAAGCATTCATTGCAACCCCTGAGGAAGATGGCAAACTGGACAGAGAATAATACAGGAGAAAAAGGGATTTCTTAGCCAAGAAATCCAGTGTGCCATGTTAAGAGTAGTATAGGCACTTAAGCACCTGTTCCTTCCATTCAGAAATTCAAAGCATCAGTGGATACCATCTTCAGGAAAAAGTGCTCTACAAAATGGTTTCTTCATAGGTGAGAGAGAAGTTAAGTGCCACTGTATCTGTCCAACAGTCCTCCCTCATCTTCCCTCCCTGAGGCTACAATGCTGCAGAAGTCTAAAGAACCTTTTGTCTGAAAGAGAATTGCTTTCAATTTTTTGAAATGTTTCCTGACTTACAAAGTCTTCCTATCTGTTCTTCCCTCTGAAGAGTTCTTTAGTCAAGAGGATGGGGGGGGGGAAGTTTGATCCATTCAAAGTGGTATGTATTAAGGCACTGTAATTATCAGGCAGTGCTGCTGAGGAAAAGGTCTCAGCTCATGGACCCTCCACTGTAACTGGCCACTCTGGCCAGTACAGGGGGACCTGGTTTTCCAGTGTAGCTGTGTGAAGCAGAGACCATTTTGGTTAATAGATCTGTGGAACTTTAAATTCAGACAGGAGATTTTCTAGTAAATCAGATTATGTTTCCTTTTTAATACATTAGGGTCTATTTCTGATTGAAACGGATGAAACAGAGCAGTCACTCTGGATGCTCCACTGCTGAGATTCTGCAAATTTAATCTTTGGTGTTGCTAAAAGTGTGAGAAATGTAATGATACATTTAGATTAGCTGAACTTAAAACAGATCAAACGATACTGAAATGGAAGGACAAGTATTTTTAAAAAAATACTATGGGGAAAGAAGATACATGGTATCATGCCAGTAAGATGTAGGGCTTGATATCAAAAAGCTAGTACTTAGGCTTTAAAATACGATTTTGTTCTTGGTTAATGTCTTAATACATAGTTTAGAAAATACTGATATGCGGTGCAGTATTCATATAGAGTGCTGTACGTCTTACAAGGCATAATCATAGAATCATAGAATGGTTTGGGTTGGAAGGGACCTCAAAGATCATCTAGTTCCAACCCCCTGACATGGGCAGGGATACCCTCCACGCCTCATCCAACCTGGTAGACCACGTTGCCCAAAGCCTCATCCAGCCTGGTCTTAAGCACTTCCAGGGATGGGGCCTCCACAACCTCTCTGGGCAACCTGTTCCAGTGCCTCACCACCCGCACAGTAAAGAATTTCTTTCTAACATCTAATCTAAATCAACCCTCCTTCAGCTTAAACCCATTACCCCTTGTCCTGTCACTACACTCCCTGATAAACAGTCCCTGACCATCTTTCCTGTAGGCCTTACCCCTTCAGGTACTGGTAAGCCGCAATTAGATCTCCCCGGAGCCTTCTTTTCTCCAGGCTGAACAACCCCAACTCTCTCAGCCTGTCCTCATAGGAGAGGTGCCCCATCCCTCCCATCAGCTTTGTGGCCCTCCTCTGGACTTGCTCCAACAGCTCGATGTCTCTCCTGTACTGGGGCCCCCAGAGCTGGACGCAGTACTCCAGGTGGGGTCTCACAAGAGCAGCGTAGAGGGGCAGGATCACCTCCCTCGACCTGCTGATTTGCTCTTGATCTTTGTTCAAAAGGTATCTCATGGCATCAGGTTAAGAGTTGACTAACAACATTGTCTAGGAAAGAACATATATTCTAGAGGCTTCTGTTTCAGCTAGTTGTAAATGTGCTAGTGCATGTAACAATTTAAATGAGCTCAAGGTATTGATAAGGCTATTCTTTGACAGCTCAAATAAATTAATCTCTGAAGTTAATCCATCTAGACAGCATGATCCATTCTGAAAGAAGGTGACTTTTTGTTAGCACTGTAAGAACTTGAATAAACAGTGTATAAGCATTTGAACATTAATTTTAAGGTGTTAATCTAAAGGCTTTGTGGTCAATGTATATTCAAATTTTCAGCTTGAAAATCTCTTGTTCATGACACATTCTGCTTTAACCACTCTTTCTATGATCTACTGATACATTATTTTGTTAATGCTGAATGCTTAACTTTTTTCTTTCTTTTTCCTTTCTCTTCATATCCTGAAGTTCCAACTAACCTTTCAATGCTTTTTTTCCTTACCTCTTTTATTTGCTCCATTTATGCATTAAGTGGTTGCTTAGATTTAAGGTAAGAAACCCCAGGGCTGGATTTCCATTCTTATTCTTCTGAGACTATTACACACGGGGAGATGATTAACAGGAATATTACTGATTGTTTAAAACGACACCTGCTCTCCCTCCTGTGTATCAGACCTTCTATTGAATGATTTCATTGCAGATAAACATTTTGTGATATAAATTGATGCATTTATGTAAGGAAGCTAACACAGTTCAGTTTAAAAGCTTTGTGGCAAAATATTGAATGCCTCAGCATATTTACCAGATCATTTACAAGGGAGGAATATTGTGCTAATTGGGTAGAGAAAAAGATACAGTGAATAGATAGCAGCTGAATATGAGCCTCCCCCTGTGTAATATTCTTTTTATCCTATATACGGTGTAAGTTATGATTTGATTGGGATTAACGTTTCAGTGAGATTGTTCAGATAATGGGCTCCAAAGGTGTGTAATAAATTCAAATCTGTATATTATTTTTTAAAGTTGCAGTATCCCTATTTTTTTTCAGAAACTGCTAGCACTATTTCACTACTGAGAGGTACTCGTGGAAATTTTCACAAGTTTGATAGTTGTGTAAACAACAAGCTAAGTGATTATGTAGTTGAATATTAAATGAATAGTGCATTAAAGAACTCAGACTGAAGTATGTCAAA